GAAAATGCGACAATAATCAAGATCATTTTCCAATTTGATCAGAACATGGGACGAATCCAGCAAGGTAACCGAAACCTTGCCATTTAGCTTGAGATTGAAAAAAAATTACATAATAGAGTCAAGAGATGGTCGCTTAGAGGGAAAAAAACCAACAAGAGCAAATTGAAAAGGCACAGCTAAAGCCAATATTTCTTCATCCGAAATCCACAGAGATTACATACCACGGAAAGAAAACACCTTAAGTTTAGGAAAAACATTACAAGACGAAGATCCCGAAATAGCTTGAAGAAAAGAACGAGAGGAACTCGAAACCCCGAAAAAACCAGGGTCAGCAAGTTTCGGAGCCATCCGGCACACGCCGGAAAGAGAACCACCAGCAAAATCTCATAAACAAGAACAAAAACAAGGAGAAAGATGAATGGAGGAACTTCCCTAGAAGTACGAAGCCAGCCCTACCACCGGACAACGGCGAGACGCTGCGAGGGGGAAGCCCTATCAGAGCGAAAAAAAAAAATTCGGGGATTGTATTCCAACTAAAGTTCACTTAACTCAATTGACCTAAATGTCCCAAAAAAATCTATGTTCACTTGAAGTGACTAGTCATATATAATCATATTTCCATTGTAATAAACTATACATTTGCATTCATATAATGTTCTAGGGTAATGTATAATTTCATTGCACCTAGTCTTTTCAACTTCATTAAATTTGTTATTAAGTAAGTAGCTTATGGTGCAGCTTGATTGATATGGGTAAAGTCTAGCTCCATACATTTGGGCACAAATACTAGATAGTGCATTGCTTTAATAAAGTAGATAGTACTACATTACATATTCTTAGCTTGTTCACACAACATTTTAGGATAGTCTTTACTAACTCTTTCTAGATACAAGTGACTTTAAATACTACATATCTTTGAGACATATATAGTGATCAATTTGTTCTTCTCTTAAACATCATCATACATTGGTACTTCAACTATTTCTTGAATTGACTCCTCATTTGTATTATGGTCATGCTCTTTTAGCTATGTTATTTTCTTGTTAAGTGAAATTCTTTTGAACAAGTCTATCTTGACTAGTGGTGCAAGTGAGCCTAGCTGACTCACGAGCCGGCACGAGCTCAACTCATTTATATGCTCACAAGACGAGCTTATCAAGCTCAAGAGTCGACCTCAAACTCAAACTCGAGCTCATTTAGTAAATGAACTCGAGTTCGAGCTTGAGCCTGGCTCGGCTTGTGAACTCGTCAGTCAATTCAAATATTATTTTTTTATTTATTAACTTTGAATATTAAAGAAGCTCTATGCATACTATATATACACATGCATTTAATGTTAAATATTTAAGCATTTATATTTAAATAAGATGGCTTTGGGCGAGCAAACCTATTAAATAAGCTGGCATTTAATATTAAATATTAGAGCATTTATTACTGTAGAAAAAAGCTACAGCTTTACCCTTTAATGTTCTTATTACTGCAAAAATGATAGGTCTAGCAGGGAGGGAAAGCAAAAACCTTTAGCCTCCTCAAAACTGGGTGAAAAATATAAAAACTAGACAAGAAATTCGGGTGGGAAAGTCAGAACTGAGCAGGAAAAACTTGATGAGCGGGTCGAACTCATTTAGAATGGGATGAGCATCTCGAACTCGTTTAGAATGGAATGAGTCGAGCTCGACTTGAGTTTGAGCTCGAGTTTGAGCTCGAGCTCAAACTCATTTTTAGACTGACGAGCTAAACTTGATTGTGCTAAAAGTTGACTCAACTCGACTCATTTACACCTCTAAACTTGATTGTCATTCTCTTTTGTTTAAATTCTTTTTTTTATCATTATATGCACTTTTAATTAGGTTTCTTCTTAACTCAACCATGTTCTTTTGGTTCAATCTTCTTATATATATTCATAATCTTTTGATTATGTTTTAATATTACTCATTTGACTAAGTATATCCTAACTTAGCTATACCTTTTATAAGTCTTTTTCCATTACAATCATCCTCTTTTAATTGATTTTGTTATTAGCTTAGGCATTCAGCTTTCATGTGTTTTTTCCCCAATTTAGTATTACCATTTTACTGTTGCATTCCATTTTTTGGTAGGAACCTTTGATTGGACACATTTAGTTTGATTATGCACTTTAATAAAATTATTTTTGTTGCTTCACTTAATAGGATTCATCAGTCATAAGAAGCCCTTTATATGCGTAGATTAACATATGCATTTTTTTCCCTACACACCAAATATGTAGAACTATATAGATATTCAACTCCCATAATCTTTCACATATTTGAATATGTAAGTATAGCCCTTCTAAAATTTTTCTCTCAGTGTTATATGGATATCCAGCATATAAACAGAAGAAAAATGTAACACTAGAATTTTTATGTGGAAACCCTAAAAAAGGGAAAAAATCATGGAGTCATACCCAGTTGAAAGCATTCAACTAGTGTTTGCTTATATTACAAATGAATAACTTATCCCTGAAATTGAGGATGATCATGTTACAATAATCAAATCCCGAGATAAAATTCAGTTACAAATGGAGTTCGGAAATCTGGCGATGTTTGGTGGCGGGGCGGAAATCCATCTTCTATTGGCGGCTGGGCAGAAATATGGCGTCAGTCCGGTGTCGGGCAAAACTCCGACGTTAGTCGGCTGTCGGGCAGAACTCTGGGGTCAGTCAATGGTCGGACAGAACTCAGGCGTCAGTCGGCTGTTTGGAAGAACTCCGGCTTCAGTCGGCGGTTGGGCAAAATGCTTCCTTCGATCGCCTGCCGGGTGGAAGTACGGCAGTGGTCGAAGAGGAGTATGGTGGCAAGAGAGATCTCTTCATTATTTTCTTGCTTCCATGCTTCATTCTCTTCTCCTCTTACTTCCATGCTTCATTCTCTTCTCTTCTTGGTTGGGTCCCGTCTCATGGAAAATGAGAGGTCTATTTATAATTTTCTGGGAGAGGTTTGAATGGACGGCCGATATTGAATATCTTGATTGTAGACTGTTTACTCATCATTTGAATGTCTTACCGATATCAAAATTTAACGATCTTGTGCTCCTTGGATTCGTGTCATCGACCCACTCGATTCGACTATAAGCATGTCATGTTTGGAAATTGTTTGGTAATCCAAATTATGGATTGAACCTTTCAAATGAACTTCGGGTCTTTGATTTGGACTCATTTGAGCTCGGATTGGGTTGAATTTGGTGTCGTTGGGTTCGTATTTTTATGACCTTCAGTTTGATTATAAGTTTACTAAAATCAGAGTACAGATGGTCTTTGATTTAATTTTTGAAGTTTCCAACTTAATTTTTATCTCGAGATTTGTGCCCGATCAAGATAATTTTTTGATGATATATGACTAATTAATATGATCCGGGTTTAAAAAGTGGGCCATCACGTGAATCATGTTGCCAAGATACTTTAACTCGGCTCTAAGCCGGGAACTTTTATTCGGTCCGGTGAACGTACGCTCCTCTACGTTCGGCCACCAATATTTTAGCGCCACGTAGCATGAAGAAAAGTCGCCGACCCGATCCGCTGTTTTTTGGGTTCTTGCACGTGCATTTTTTTAAATCCTTGACGAGCCGAACAACATCCCATCACCTTTTGGATATATTTCAAATACCTAGCAATACCGAGTAAATACCAAGTTATACCTAGTTTTTTCTAGCAATACCTAGCAATACCGAGAAAATCCCTAGCAATATCGAGCAAATACCTAGCAATACCGAGCAAATACTGAGTTGTACCGAGTTTTTTCTAGCAATACCGAGCAAATACCTAGAAATACCAAGCAAATCCTGAGCAAATACTGAGTTGTACCGAGTTGTAAAAAACTCGGTACAACTCGGTATTTGCATGGTATTGGTCTTCACAGAGCGATTTTTCTCATTTTTTCAAAGCAATACCTAGCAAATACCGAGCAATAACGAGAAAATCACGAACATAGCATTCCCGGGTTCCGCTCCGGGTCAAGTCGTCGGGCCGCGCGGTTTAGAGTAAGAGCACGTGGCGACATGTTATTGGCGGCCGAACGTAGCTCTACGTCCGGTCAGAGGACGTAATAATTGTTCCTAAGCCGGAGCTCTGAAATGGAAATACTCGCCGATAGATCCCAACAACCGAGATCATCAAATGTCCTAAAGCTACTTGCCCACATATGATGTGCTCGTTGTGAGAAATCACTATTAAAACTGCTATAATTTTCCAAAGAAAATTCTTCCCAACAATCTCATTTTCTATTTGAAATTATGAAGGATTACTTAAGTATCTAGATAATAATTTTTGTTAAAAATATATATATAATTTTAGTTGAATTATTTAATACGAACATTTTTATGCTGCGAAAATCAAACTAAATCATTAAATATAGGTTATTTCAGGATTAGTAAGACATATTCTAATTAACTTGCATCCTTTTAACTTGTATTTTCTAGCAAAAAATTATTTAATTTTTCAAAATTTTTCTTTCCAATTTGCTATTGTTTAGACTTTCATACGTGCTACCTAATAAGATTACTTTGTATCCACAACAAGATTTCAATAAAAAAACCTCTACATAAATGAAAAAAAAAAAAAAACTACACAAATCAGATTTTTTTAAAGGAGCATGATGATTAATTTAAATTAGGAGTATGAGCTAAATATTAACAATTTTAAAAACAAACAAACTATCCAAACAGAATGATGTATTCTAAAGAATGTGTTAAATCATTTGACGCATTCACTCTATTCAGTCAGACTAAATTCTAAATTACTGTAACAATGCGATAAATAGTTTGACACATTCAATATAATGCGCTTGAATGCATCAAACAGTTCGATGCATTCTATTGAATGCGCCAACAATTTGACTTATTCTAATTACGTCAAAAAATTTGGTGCATTCAATGATGTGCATCATTCTGTTTGGCTTGTTTTTTTTTAATTATTTTGTTAATATTCTATTCTTATTCCTAATTTAAATTAAATATCATGCTCCTTAAAAAAATCACATAAATCATGATACATACAACCCATAAATATCTAGCTTATTTTATTTCAATTAGTAATATCCCAAATTTACTTTTTAATTAAAAAAAGCTAATATATAAACACTCCACACTACACACTACACACTACACACTACACACTACACGCCTGGAAAGTATTTCGTATGTACATAAAAAAAAAGCAAATCTTGAACCAAAATAAAAACTAGTAAGGGTAGAACGAAACAATTTTTTTTCTCCGTCTCCTCTCCTCTTTATCAAAGGAGTGAAACATCACTCGAATTATCTGCAAAGCTAAATATTCACAGAACCCAAACTCTAACATCCACAACCGCGGTGAAAAAAATAGACAAACAACCAGCAATTTCATCTCTTCTCAATCAATAGAGACCAAAATTCTTCGATGCTAATTTCTTACTTCACCAGGTCCCAAACCCATCCAAAATCCGGCGAGACCCTCCCATCATCCTTAACCGCCTCTTTCTTCGTTTCCACCCTTTTCCCCAGCTGCATATTCTGTATCGAGGAAACCATGTTATCCATGTCCGATTTGGGGCTGGGTTGCTGACTGGTCGTCAGGCGGAGCTGCTCCGGCGTGTGCGCGAAGAAGCAAACACGTCGACGGCAAGCGGTCCCGTCCTTGCATGACTGAGTTCGATACTTGGTTGGGTGAAGCCAACACTCAAACACCCCGTGTGCATACTCGCAGGCGTCTCCCTTCTTGCAATTTCCTTTGCGGAAATCAGGGCACGAAGTCCCCGAGTATTGAAATTTCATTGGATCCCTTCGCCGGGCTTTCTCGCCTGGATGAGCGAAGGGGCACTCAGTCCAATCATGAGATCTTCCCCTTGCGCACCGCTTCACCTTGAACTCGTACATCCGAAAGAAGTCGGAGGAGTAAGATCCTAAAGGAGGATCAGCGAGATCTGACTCGTTGGAATTCGAATCGTTAGAGGGAAGGAACCGATGTTTCATGAACAGAGTCAGCTCCCTCAAAGTGTACGGTGATAGCTCGCCGTCGCCGCCGGAGAAAGCGATGCCGCTTACCGGCATGGGATAGGGCCTTACCAGCACATCAGATTCTTCCACGGTCGTCCATGGTGGAACATGTACAGTCGGATGACACCCTGTTCTGTGTCCAACTTTCATGTTTTTCAGTTGCAAGGGTGGAACAAGTGGCGTGAGGGCGGTTTATAAACACCGGATTTCAGTGAGATATATTGTACCTGCGGAAGAGCGTTCTCCGCAGAATACTCCACTACGGACACGATGGAGAGATGTTTTTATTTATTTATTATTATTTAATTATATTATTGAAAACTTTAAGAGTAAAAACTTTCATATATTAGACAAAATATATAGAAACAAAAATATTAACATGAAAAGGAAAAATAAAATTTTTACTTTATTTCTCTTATAATAATTGTATTTGAACAATAATGCTCATTATATTTTTATTTTAAAAAATATGAACTAATATTTTTAGAATAAAATTATCCTACGATATATATATATATGAGTCATAGATCACATGATTTATTTGAACATGATTTATTTGAGACAACTTTTTGGCTATTTTATCTTTCAGACAGCAATAGCATTTTTATTTGGCTTTGTCTTTCTTATTAATTCTATCTATATTTTAGAAATTATAGCAATTGAAAGTTACTTTATGCAATAAAAATAACAAAGTTGTTTCTTCACAACAATGTCAAAACCAACTTTATAAACCGTTGTAGCCTTTCCAAACAAATCCTTGTGCCGCTTTGAATTATGAGCAATAATATTCCGATAAAGTTGAATTAGAAGAAATAATTTCATTCAGCTTTGACCATGTATTAGATTTGTAAAGTTTGAGACAGCAATAGCATTTTTATTTGGCTTTGTCCCAACTCTTAAAATGCTCCACCAGACGATACATGTTTATTCCCTCAATTGTAGACTTTTTTTTTAAGCAGTTAAGTGCTCTTGACTAAGCTTAGAATTGAGAGCACTTAGGTTGATTGAATTCAGCCCTTTGAGTTGTTTATTTGGATAAATAAGCACAAAGATTCAGAGATCATTTGCTCCTTTAATAAACATCATGATGTTTCAACTACACTTAAGTGTTTGATTTTGGTTCAATTAGAGTTAGGTTGGAAACCTTTTCATATGGTTGGATACATGCTTATTGAAATCAAGGTTATAAGATCATAAATTTAAATTAAGCTTTTTTTAATTTAAATATTACACCAAAATTCTTGTTTGAAAAGATAGAGTTATTTGAGTCCTAAATTATGAGTTGATAATGTGTGATAGATGCAGTCCTACTATATTTTCCTTTTGGAAAAATATTAAATCATTTTTGAATTATGAGTTTAATAATATAATTTTTTTTTTAATAAATATAAGAAAGATAGAAGATAAAAAATGTGTCATTATTGTGTTTTGTATTTCACAAGTCAATAGAGATTTTAGATGATTAAACATAGATCATAGGTATTATTTAAATAATTGGAAACATCCAAAATTAAATTTAGGATCATCATTCAAACTCTAATTTCAGTCAACTTAAAGGCAAACTGAACAACTCAATAAGACGGACGAAAAATGTAAAAAGTGGCCTCCAAATAGTCATTTGAAGCATATTTAGGAACATCAAGATATTAATTGAAGGACCAAAAGGTCTTCAAATCTTACATGTTCATAATCAAATTGAGTGGCTTAATGTGGAAAATTCATCAGATGTATTATCATCTGATTCAGATGTCATTAAGAATTAACAAAAGATCACTCCTGAAATAATATAAATAAATCCCCATTCTTTATATAAAAGAGTCGAAGACTTGAGATTGTAGAGAGCTTAAATATTTGAAAACCCTTAAAGCCTTACTTGATATTTGACTTTAAGAATCTCCATTATCCACCACCATCATCCAATTTCCATCACCAATCATCGTCTCACCTACATCACATAAACATAGTTATTTGATAACCATCATCCTCTCATTATAGCCTACACCATCTTCTAACCATCTCTAGACTCCTCTAAGTATTGCAATCTTATTATATGAACTGTATCGTACAGTACGACCGGTCACTATAATTGTTCATAATTTGATAGCCTAATATCGAGGGATTAATTAAGAAATATTTTAATCAGGGCATACAATACTAACCAAATCATATTGTCTAATTAATATCTTCCTTAACCTTTTGCAGCTAGGATTTTGATAGATCACAATAGATGATACAATATAAATTAAAATCATACAATATGAAAAAAAAGTCATATAGTATAAAGTGTTTATTCTTTTTGAATCTAGATGATTCTTATTGAATCTTGATTAGGTTATTAAACCTAAGCTAATGTCCCAAGGCTAACCAAGAGTGGGGGGGGGGGATGAATTGTTATTTTTAAAAATTCTCTTGGATTTTAAAAGTGAAACCGGTTGATTCACAAAGCAAGTTAATTAAAGTTTTTAAAATAAAACTTTTCAACCATGGAAAAATAACTTGCAGTAAATAAAATGCGGAATTTAAATAACACAAAGATTTATAGTGGTTCGATCAAGCACGACCTATATCAACTCCTTGAAGACTCCCTCTTCAGGTATTGCACTATTACCAAAAGTGTCTCTTATTTTGCTCTTACAGTAAGGCAGAGAAGTCTTTACAAAAACTCTCTTTCACCAATCCCCGTCGTCCTTTCACACCCTACAAGTATAGGTAGAGAACCTTCGTCCTTTCACACCCTCCAAGTGTAGGCAGAGTACCATCGGCTGTTCACACTCTCCAAGTGTATGCAGAGAACCATCATCCTTTCACACTCTCTAAGTATAAGAAGAGAACCTTCATCCTTTCACACCCTCCAAGTATAGGTAGAGTACCGTCAACTATTCACACTCTCCATGTGTAGGCAGAGAACCTTCATCCTTTCACACTCTCCAAGTGTAGGCAGAGAACCTTCGGTTTTTCACACTCTCCAAGTGTAGGCAGAGAACCTTCGGCTGTTCACACTCTCCATGTGTAGGCAGAGAACCTTCATCCTTTCACACTCTCTAAGTGTAGGCAGAGAACCTTCATCCTTTCACACTTCCTAAGTGCCGACAAAGAATTGGATCTTATCCGAAGATCTTCTCGCGAGCAATCTAGAAAGACAAGAGGAAGAGTGATAACCACAATTACAAGGAGATCCTTACCTTTGAGTAACCTTGTGAACCCTTCGCACTCCACTTACAAGAAATCTCTCTCAAACACTCTCTCACACTCTCTTCTTCAATTTCCCTTAAAAAATCACATAGATAAGAATTAATCACATTAGTTTTAGTTGACCTTTTATACAAAAGACATGAAAAACTATCCAGGAAAATGAATTTTTCAATTTAAAGCGCACACGATCACAAAGTACAATCGTATGTTCATACGTACGAATAATTCAAATACAATTGTGTATGAAACTTTTATGAATCGGTACGAAACAATTTCATACGCGATCATTGTCTGGTATGAACTATGTTCATTCGTGATGAACAGTTAGAAAATTTAATTTCATTTGTATGAAACATTAGGATGAAATGAACGAGAATAGAAAATGGCGTTCATACATATACAATAATTTTTATCGTCCCGTACGATCTTCGTCCAGAGCAGAATAGAGGTGTTCATCCCTCTATTAAATTCTTGATCATCCCGTATAATATTTGTCCGAGAACAAAATAAAGGCGTTCTTCCCTGTATAAAAATTAATATCATTCCATACAATCGTTGTCTAGAGTAGAACAGAGGCATTTGTCCTTGTACGAAAATTAAGATCGTCCCGTACGATCTATACTTAAAAAAATTGTTTTCATTTATGTTGGTTCAACTACTTGTTGGAAAAAATAACTGACCAGATCATCTCGTACGAAGTGATATCGTACAGAACGATCAATTTAAAAAATATGAATTTTAAACACTCCCCCCCCGTGTGTGTGTGTGCTCAGTTACTCAATTACAATCATACTCTCTTAGATTCAATAAATTAAAAAATATAGACTTCAATTACAATAAAGTCTAAACTGATATTAATTTGAAGTCTTCAATAATTTGGAGTATGATTTTTCTGATATGTTAGTACACACATAAGCAAAATAATTCTTTCAAAATATGTTAGAAGAAATAATAATCAAATCAATAATATTGGAATCATAAAAAAACATACAAGTCATAATAATATCAAAAATGCAAAACTAATAAGCAACTATCTCAATAATCTCCTCCTTTTTTATGATGGCAAAATAATTATTGTTTGAATAAAATAAAATTTTTAAATTTCTCCTGAATTCTTCCTAAATGATTAAGCATGTGAATATAAGGGAATGTCAATTTATAACAAATCTCTTTAAAAAAAAATTCATAAAACCACAAAACACTCTAAAACAACCACAAAAACACTTCAAACAGAAAAGTCCTAAAAATTAAAACAACTCTAACAGACACTAAAAATAAAACTAAAAATCAAATGCAAATAAACAATCAAATGCAAACAAACAAACAAATAATATTTATCTACCTTTTTGAAAATAACAAAAAGAAGAAAGAAGAAAAAAATAAAAGAAATGTAAGAAGTCATATGAGAAACCTTTGATAATTGATCTTGAAAGAGATTGAATTATAATTGCAATAACAAGATTAATGTTCATTAGAGAAAAATAAAGATTTATAACATTTAAAATAAATTATATGATAGACAAGATAAATATATCAAGGTCATGAAATAGTCTAGATAATTAGATAAGACAAATTATTACAAAAGTGATAAAATGAAGATTAATTAAAGTCAAATTCCAATACACAATATAATTGAATATTAGATTGATTTGAAATTGAAGATCAAAAGAAAGAGGAAAGAACATTATCAATACACTTGTTTGGCTACATTGCACAACTTTTCAAATATTTGTGGCACACTTTATGCATATTTTTGTATTTGGCCTAATTTGGTGCCTCTTTTTAATTTACGAATAATTGCGCATTCTTTCAAATTTTTTACACTAATATATTTCTAAATTTTTAATTGATCTTTCTAAAATCAATAATCTAAAAGCTAAACTTCTCTAATAACAAAGATAATTATATTGAAAAGAAAAATAAAAAAATAATAAGACATCAAAATTACAATAATAATTTTAAAATTATGTATGCCTAAAATGAACATGAGGTT